AAAAACTAAGAATTTTATAGCAGATATCTTGTTTACTTTTCCATATGAAAAAAACTCAACTCAAATTCAAACTTGAAATAGTAAAGGTGTGGCATTTTACAAATTAATAACCTTAAATAGTAACCTGGTTGATTTTAATTAAGGCTCCAAATTAATTACCTATGTTGAGAGCATCTTGGGTGCCACTGTAGCGTGTGGAGAGGTCATTGGCCATCACCCTCTTGATCTCTGCAACCAGGGTTGAGTCGTCTTCACATGGCTGAAGGTGTTTCAGCAGTTTTGCTTGAAGTGGAGCAATTACAGAGAGAGTTGGCTGGTCTTCTTCACACATAACAGTAGTTGCCATTTTGACAGGACCCATCAACTGAACAATGTCTTCCATGTTGGCAATATCACTCTCACTCAGCGTGCCTACATCTGTGACCCCCTTTTTTCGTAGATCCTTGGACATCAGAGTTGCCATTATAGCTGGCTGTTGTTCCAAAAAACGTTCAAGCATTTCGAAGGAACTGTTCCATCTGGTGATTATGTCTTGGATCAGTTTATGTTTTGGTAAATCCATCAGAGTTTGTTTTTCCTGTTGGGCGTGACATGCAATCGTGCTGCGGTGAAAATATCCAACAATTTTTCGCACTTTCCCCAACAACCTGGAAACACGCTCCACCCCCAAACCCTTCTGCGAGGCGAGGTTGAGTGTATGTGCGAAGCAGGTAATGTGTGGACTGAACTGGGCTTCTGCACCGGCCACAATCATGTTCCTGGCATTATCTGTGACGATGGCAGGATTCTTGTCTGAGATTTCCCACTCCATGCAGGCTTCACGCAGTCACGCGCCAATATTTTTACCAGTATGGGCTTCATTTAAAACTCTGGTTTGCAGAACAAAGGTCTTCATTTTCCACTCCGGATCAATGTGATGAGAGGTAATTGTCACATACCCTTGATTTGAGCATGACGTCCAGCCATCCGTCGTTATGGCTACTCGTTCAGCTTGAGAAAGCGACAGCTTTACGTCATTCTTAGTACTTTCGTACAATGCAGGAATAACTTTTTCTGAGAAGTGTGGTCGGCTTGGTATCGTGTACCTTGGCTCCAATGTTAGAATCATTTCACGGAACCCCGGATTTTCAACCACACTGTACGGTCGCAAATCTTTGCAGATAAACTTGGCAATTGTTGCCGTGATGTTTTTCGCCCGAGCTGAGTTTTGGCCTAGTCTCTGACTAAACATGCAGGCGAGGCCTGAGGCTTCTGCAGAGTTGACTTTACCTTGCGCTGCGGCTGCAGTAGCGGGAACGCTGCAAGAGGTGCCTGGACGGTCGGTGTTGTGTGAAATCCCATGGCGCCTTAGTAGGTGGCTAGAGAGATTTGTCGTGTTGCCGTTGTACTTTACTTGACCTTTGCATATTCTACAAACAGCGAGCGACTTATTTAAAACATCGCCGTCTTTGCAAAATCCAAAGTGTTTCCACACACTGGACCGCAATGGAGGCTTGATGATTTCTCGCTCGTCGGCATCTCCTCTGTATTCCGCCATGCTATGTTTTGACTTTGCGCCGCTGCTGGCGCGTGGCGATGACGTCACATATAGGCAGACTAAATCGAGTAATGTTTAACGCCTTTATCATTAAAAGTGCTAAGAAAAAACGTCCATATAAAGTCTGACGTGCTTAAATCTAATACGTTATTTCCTAGTATCGATACAATCGATTGATTACCTTTTAAAACGATATTAGATCGATATATGTCGTACGGAATGCCAATTTGCCGAGCACAGATCGATGTAGTTGGATCATAGGAATATAAATCGATACATCGATGCATCGATGAATCGTTACACCCCTACTATCTATCTATCTATCTATCTATCTATCTATCTATCTATCTATCTATCTATCTATCTATCTATCTATATTTCCATCTATCTATCTATCTATCTATCTATCTATCTATCTATCTATCTATCTATCTATCTATCTATCTATCTATCTATCTATCTATCTATCTATCTATCTATCTATCTATCTATCTATCTAGGTTCTGCTATTATTAAAAGCCAAAGAAGAGTTTACTTAAAAGTCGTAAATTCACTTTTATTTATATAAAGCAGCTTCAGAGTAATAAACAGGGAAATAGCGGATTCACTGATGCACACTTAATCAAATATGAGACAAATTCAGCTGTATAGCAGCTCTAACAAGACAAAATTGCCATTTTTCAGCTTGAGTCAGTTCTGTTCAATAACAGTGTTGATGCTGCAAAATGTGTTGTTTATAATACAAATTTGTTTCAGCTATAAAGCAGCAATACAGATGAAAATAGTATCATCATCCAGCATCAATTCATCTCAATTTTTGTTTCCATCCAAAAGTGTCAGTGCAGTCAAAAAAAAAAAAAAAAAAAAATACTGAATAGTAAGTGTCTTTTAAATCCCAACTATGCAAGCCAAAAGCAACAGTGGCAAGGAACCCAATCTCCATCAGGTGACAGAAATGAAGGGGGAAACTAGACTCATTCGGGGGGCAAGTTCTTCTCTGGCCAAATAAACTAACATGGCATGATTTTGAATCCAGGCTGCATAACAAGTTTGACACTGAAAACATATGTTGTAATTTGGAGATATTTTTAAGATTTAAAAACGTGGTTATACAATTATTAGAAATGTGGCTGAAATGTCTGGTTTGCTATCTTTGTGGGGACTCTCCATAGATGTAATGTTTACTAAGCTATCTAAATGGGGACATTATATAGACGTAAGGGTTTTTTATACTGTACAAACTGTATATTCTCTCCCCTTACACTAACCCTACCCCTAAACCTATACCCATCACAGAAAACCTTCTGCATTTATACATAAAAAAAAACCCCTTCTATTTCTTGATTTTTATACCAGATTTACAAATGAGGACGGATGTTTTTGGAGATTTTATCAGGGTTTGGTCACTTCTGGGTACAAATATGTCCCCAAAATATAGTTTGTACACGCAAACTATACACAAAATAAGTAGGCACACACACACACACAATTTTACTGAGACAAGAGTTTAATTATGCTAAGTATAGGAATGTACCATTGTTGGAGAACGGGTGTTTTTACATCTGTTATATTCCATTTTCAATGTAAATTCTAACTTTTCTTTTGCATAAGAGAGTAGATTATTTTTTCTGAACACTGTGACCAAATATTTCTTCTAGTCTTAATTATTATTATTTTTAAATGTGTTAAATCTTGTTTGTGGGTTTGTCCCTCCTAATGGTGTAATAGTGCTGGCCGCCAGTATAAATGTGCTTGTCTGTGTCTAATTATTGTGCCCTGGATTTCAACCATGCTTTCAACCGAGTGGAGCCCTTATTGAGCGAAAACACTTTCTGTCAGAACATTCTGTAATCCCATATGCCTTAGTGCAATGGTCATCACAATGCACTTTATACACAATAGTTGGATTAAGAATAGGTCATAATTGGTCAACCAACCACATAAAACACACTTGGCTAATGTCTCTCAGTCGCCCACTGATGAACAATACAGAGATTTAGTGGCTGTTTACACAGTTTTTAACTAAAAACAGAAAACTTGTCATGCTTATTGGCCATTCACTTACACAACAAGGGCGTTTGGGGGGTAACGGGTTTCAAAGGTCAAGTTTTTGAAACAATACTGTTTTCGTCTCTGTGTAAAAAAAAAATGGGAAAAAAGGTGAATTTGTGAAAAGATGTCATGACATTGTCACAACACAAATGGGACGGCACATCCCGATATACAGTAATTATCCCCTAAACTAAAGACAATGTCACGAAGAAACAAGCCATCTTGTCTAGTCTCACTTTTGCCGCAAAGCCATAGTCTACAACTCTATAGTCTTTGGCGCCCTCAGACTTCAAACTACGCTGCACCTATTCATCAGCTTACAGATCATATTGACTTGTTTCCCAAGACATCACTCCAGACGCAACCAGACCTCCAACGAATGAGCAAACCTGGGAAACCCCCTTTGAGTATGCAACGCCACAGAAGGGAATCCCCATTCAAAGATGCAACCCAAGAAATGCAAGAAATACCTCCAGTTTCTAGCTGAACTGTCTGGTGCATTAAGAAAGATTCATATCCTCATTGAAAACTCAATGCAAAGTTTAAATGAATGATTGATGGTTTGTTCAGGTCAGGGATATGAAATTGGTTCAAGGGGGAGCTGCAGAGCAAGCCAAAGTTTGTGCATGTTTCAAGAGATTTTGACATGTTAAGGGCCCCAAAAGCCCTAAAAAACCTTGAACAAAAACAATAATAATACTTAGGAAAACAATAGGAACTGGGAAACCCCTTTTGAGTATTCAACAGCACAGAAGGGAATCCCCATTCAAAGATGCAACCCAAGACATGCAAGAAATACCTCCAGTTTCTAGCTGAACGGGCACACTTTCAGTGTTTGGGAACTAAAAAACTTGAAACAAGAAGTGATTTCTTCGTTGAGTATGGATAGAAAAGCTGACTCATTCTCTATTAAAATGGCTGTAATAACGAGATGCAGTATATTAACAGGTTTTTGAAAAAAAAACTAATTAAGTTGCCAAGTGCAGCTTGGAAAAGAGATTAGAATTTTCCATTAAAAATGAAAAAAGTAAAATAACCAGAGCAAAGCAAGAAAATTTAAGCATGATGGTTTTTCAAAGATATGCAAAATAACTCCTTGGAATAAGAAACTAAGTAAATCCCTCTGTGCCTTTACAAATTACAAGCTCAAATATTTAAATAGAAACAACATATCAAATAGGTAAACTCTAAACTGTAAGGTTTACCTTAGAAAGAGCCAACAGCCCTTGAAGTAGGGAAGGATTTAAATGAGTCAATGCCATTGAGCTGTTATAAATGATGTGTGTATTCAGCAAGGACATTTTCTTTTTCTTATGTGAATTTGAACTTATGACTGCTGAACAATGAAAATGTTAACCTCTGTGGGCTTTAAGAACTACACTGACTTTTGAATTCCTTTCATTCCCTGCAGGAATTGCTTACAGAGAGTGCTTGGACAATGGTACATGGGCACTGAAAAGTAACTACTCCAACTGTGAGCCCATTTTGGAGGAAAAGGTGGGTAAATGTGTTATAAGCCTGAACTGTACTCTCCTGAACTCTACTGTTTTGGCTTAAGTGATGTCCCCAGGATTGTTTATAACATTTCATTAGTAAAATAAAAATAGCTGCAAGCAGCGATGATGGATCATCACTTGATTCCCCTGGGAATATATATTCAGTTCAGATTCAACAGGTCACATTGGGAAATAAGATCTGGGCACTTCGCTGGCCGCTGGCATTCCTGTCTTGCAAGAAACCACACACATGATGAGCACTGTGGCTGGCGGCATTGATTGTCCCGCTGGAGAGTCCTGTCAGCATGAGCCAGCTGAAGGATAGCACATGAGGGAGGAGGATGGCTTCCCTGTATATCACAGCGTTGAGATTGCCTGCAATGACAAGAAGCTCAGTCCGATGATGCTGTGATATACCGTCCCAGACCATGACGGACCCCCACCTCTAAATCGATCCCACTCCAGAGAACAGGCCTCGGTGTAATGCTCATTCTTTCAGCAACAAATGCGAGACCTATCATCACCTCTGGAGAGATAAAAACGTGACTTTTCTGTTAAGATCACTTTTCATCATTCCTGTCTTGTCCAGCAGTGTGTGCCCTCATTGTTGCCGGTGACATCTGGTAAGGACTTGCCCTACAAGCCCTCAGTCCAGCCTCTCTCAACCTATTGCGGACAGTCTGAGCACTGATTGTGCATTATAGTTGCTTTAGGCGTCCTTTACCAATGCCGCATGTGTGATTTTCAAACACTGATCCTGTGCATGTGTTGTTACACGTGGCTTTCCACTGCGAGGACAACTTTCTCTCACTGTAGCACTGTCTTTCTCACAGTACAGATATTGCCATTGCCCTGGCCGAACCACCGGCTTCTTTCTTTTGGTGTTTTTCAGAGTCAGTAGAAACGTCTCTTTGGTGTCCTAAGTTTTAATAACTGTAAACTTAATTGCCTTCCATCTGTAAGCTGTTATTGTCGTAATGATTGTTCCACAGGCTATTTTGATGTTGCAAAGGTATCTTTAATATATACGATAGCGTGAAAAGTGATTATTACCAATTTTTATTTTTATTTTTTTACAAAACATTAAAGGAGTAGTTCACTTTAAAAAAAACTTTTGCTGATAATTTACTCACCCCCATGTCATCCAAGATGTCCATGTCTTTCTTTCTTCAGTCGAAAAGAAATTAAGATTTTTGATGAAAACATTCCAGGATTTTTCTCCATATAATGCACTTTACTGGGCACCAAACTGTCCAAGGTCCAAAAGACAGTTTCAGTGCAAACTGCAAACTGTTCAAAGGGCTTTAAACGATTCCAGACGATGAATAAGGGTCTTATCAAGCGAAACGATCGCTCATTTAACAAATAAATAACAAAGTTTAAGTTTTATAAGCTCAAATGCCCGCCTTGCTCTGTTCTGTGTGACTCTCCTGTTTGAACTCGTTCATCAAAACGAACGAATCTTTTTCCGAGTCAATTCGTTCATTTCGTTCGTTAAATGAATCAAATGACTCGAAAAAAGATTCGTTCATTTTGATGAACGAGTTCGAACAGAGTCACACAGAACAGAGCAAGGCGGGCATTTGAGCTTATAAAACTTAAACTTTGTTATTTATTTTTTAAATGAGCGATCGTTTCGCTTGATAAGACCCTTATTCATCGTCTGGAATCATTTAAAGCCCTTTGAACAGTTTGCAGTTTGCACTGAAACTGTCTTTTGGACCTTGGACAGTTTGGTGCCCAGTAAAGTGCATTATATGGAGAAAAATCCTGGAATGTTTTCATCAAAAATCTTAATTTCTTTTCGACTGAAGAAAGAAAGACATGGACATCTTGGATGACATGGGGGTGAGTAAATTATCAGCAAAAGTTTTTTTTAAAGTGAACTACTCCTTTAAGTTTGCCAGACAGTGCGCAGATCAGAGAATGTCTGTCTCCAGTCAGCAAACGAGATTTGTGTCTTTTTGTCTGATCCATAACAGGACCCTGAAGTGGCTAAACTGCAGGGAAACCTGTTTCAAGATGAGAGAATCTGACTCAATGAGGATAAAACTGTTGAGCAGTGAAACTGACAGAGCAGAATCTCAAAGTAACACAGTCTCATCCCAAGAAGTCATATAACTGACGTCTTGGGACGTCTTTTGACCATACGTCAATATCCGCCTTTTTAGGGTACCCTTAAACGTCGGTTTATGACGATCCTGGGACGTCATACAACTGACGCTTTACCTTTAACGTCAGTTAGGTGACGGGGTAGGTTTAGGGGTAGGTTTAGGTCTGGGGTAGAGTTAGGATCCGATAACGTCTTCTAACCGACGTTTAAGGGTACCCTAAAAAGGCGGATATTGACGTATGGTCAAAAGACGTCCCAAGACGTCAGTTAAATGACGTCTTGGGATGAGACTGCGCTGCTCAAAGACAGGGAGGAGAGAGGCAGATATTCCAATGCATTCTCATCCTAGGGCGTCATATTTGACATATTTTGACATTTCGTCTACATCCAACGCACATGGCACCCTTTAGCGTCAATATGAGACGCAGATAGATATGGGTAGGTTTAGGTCTGGGGTAGGGTTAGGGTTAGACCGCTAGGAGGCGCCTTCTGGCCCATATCTATCTGCGTCTCATATGGACGCTAAAGGGTGCCATGTGCGTTGGATGTAGACGAAATGTCAAAAGCGTCAGTATATGACGCCTTGGGATGAGAATGGGCTGGATATTCTTTGCCGGTCTGACACAGTTCTCAGATTATTAATATGAGGATGAACATGCACCACGGGGACTCATCCTGTTGAAACCACGATGCTCGTGTGAACCAAAACACTACTCCTCCCGCTCCGAAGTCCAAAGTGACGGTGAACAGGCACATATTCAAGCCGAAATGTGAGCTTCCAGACTTGAACACAAGTGTTCATGTGTAAAATGCCCGGCACATGGTCCGGGGAGATTGAGAGAGCCTTGAGCTCCACATGGGATCTCCAGCAACCCGACTCATGCTGCGACTGCAACCGCAGGACCACGGTGTCGGGGGATTACTCTTTTTCTCGAAAGAAAGCGCACTTTGAGTGAAGCACTTAATTTTTGCAAACCAATGCAGTGTGAACAGCTCGATAAGCCGCTGAGCATGGCGAGAGCCAAAACACTGAACACACTTACAATGAGTGTCCTTGATCATAATAAGCAAGAACACGGGCGCACACACTGATGAAAATGGCATTGTGTTCCACACTAAGGGAAGATTAACTCGACTTCAAGCCACTCGCTGAAACACAATAAAACTCTGAAGACAGAACGGCCAGATAAACCGTCTTCCTGAAGAAGAGAAATCTGAGGACGGATGGCACTTGAAAATGGTCCTTTATAAGTCACTGCAATTTGTGTACTTTCTTCTTATTGTTTTCTTACGACTAAAAGCTTCCCTGCTCAACCTGAACTGTTTCGATCGGTTTAAATCAATTAATGCTATTAATCTCATTGCTTTTAGGATCTGTTGTTTACAGAATCCAAAACATTCTGAATGACATGCATATCATAATCCATTTGGCTCAATTATTTAGCTTTTTACACATATTATGAAGTAGCCCATATTTGACTTAAGTTCACTCGGTAACACTTTATTTTACAGTGTCCTTGTTACATATGTTACATGTACTTACCATAGTAATAACAGTAAATTATGCATAATTACATGCAACTAACCCTCAACCAAACCCTAATCCTGCCCTGACCCTATAGTAAGTACATGTAGTTCATTAATATTACTCAGCACTTAAATATATAATTACACTGTAACTATGACACCTTAAAATAAAGTGTAACCGTTATAATATCACATACTCATGCATCAGTAAACTTCTCTCTTCACTTCACATGACTTGATTCTGCAAAAGGACAGTTGAATCCTTCAGTGTGTTGTCTGCGGCGTGTGACCTCTTGCAAGGACTGGAAAATATTAAGCAAGGACAAAATGGTCATTGAGTAATAACTATTGATTTGTGCTAAAATTGCAATCATTTATCATATTATATCATATCACATGCTAGTAAGAATGAATGACTTCTTTATCATGGCAGAATTGATAATGGATCTGTTTTCCACAGAGGAAGTACCCCATGCACTACAAGATAGCCCTCATCATAAACTACTTCGGTCACTGTATATCTGTTGGCGCTCTCGTCATTGCCTTCGTTCTCTTTCTGTGCTTGAGGTAAGTGTGTCAGCTATGTCTCAGCACTAAACGGCAGTAAATTAACGAGGGCAAACCTTAGTAAATCACCTTGCATGATTCATTTAAATACTCTCCCACATCTTATCAGCGCACATTTTTCACTGCAGCTGGAAAAGATGGTTTGCGCTGGAAGCTGTTAGTAAATCTGACCCTAAGCCTTAGACTTAAAGATAATTAAGATTGTACACTCACCTAAAGGATTATTAGGAACACCACACTAATACTGTGTTTGACACCCTTTCGCCTTCAGAACTGCCTTAATTCTACGTGGCATTGATTCAACAAGGTGCTGAAAGCATTCTTTAGAAATGTTGGCCCATATTGATAGGATAGCATCTTGCAGTTGATGAAGATTTGTGGGATGCACATCCAGGGCACGAAGCTCCCGTTCCACCACATCCCAAAGACGCTCTATTGGGTTGAGATCTGGTGACTGTGGGGGCCATTTTAGTACAGTGCATTGTAGCATTGCATTGTCATGTTCAAGAAACCAATTTGAAATGATTCGAGCTTTGTGACATGGTGCATTATCCTGCTGGAAATAGCCATCAGAGGATGGGTACATGGTGGCCATAAAGGGATGGACATGGTCAGAAACAATGCTCAGGTAGGCCGTGGCATTTAAACGATGCCCAATTGGCACTAAGGGGCCTAAAGTGTGCCAAGAAAACATCCCCCACACCATTACACCACCACCACCAGCCTGCACAGTGGTAACAAGGCATGATGGATCCATGTTCTCATTCTGTTTACGCCAAATTCTGACTCTACCATCTGAATGTCTCAACAGAAATCGAGACTCATCAGACCAGGCAACATTTTTCCAGTCTTCAACTGTCCAATTTTGGTGAGCTCTTGCAAATTGTAGCCTCTTTTTCCTATTTGTAGTGGAGATGAGTGGTACCCGGTGGAGTCTTCTGCTGTTGTAGCCCATCCGCCTCAAGGTTGTGCGTGTTGTGGCTTCACAAATGCTTTGCACAAATACTCAGACCGGCCCGTCTGGCACCAACAACCATGCCACGCTCAAAATTGCTTAAATCACCTTTCTTTCCCATTCTGACATTCAGTTTGGAGTTCAGGAGATTGTCTTGACCAGGACCACACCCCTAAATGCATTGAAGCAACTGCCATGTGATTGGTTGATTAGCTAATTGCATTATTGAGAAATTGAACAGGTGTTCCTAATAATCCTTTAGGTGAGTGTACACATACACTAAAGGAAACATTCGGTCATCATACTGTAATATCTACTCTAATTTTCTCTTTTTTGAGGAACACTCAACGATAATATTGTGAAGAAGTCACTGGTCGTTTTTTTTTTTTTTTCATTAAATGCCAAATAATGGGGAATTTTAACATTTATTTTATATTAAAAATGACATAAACGCATATAAAAATATTCTCTTTTTCAAATCTTCTGAAGTCATATGATAGCTTTGTATGAAAAAGACAAGTCATTTTTCCTTGTGCTCTTGTTTACTTAATTAAACATAATAATAATAAATATAATTTATTTATAATAATATTTATACTAATAGTAGCATTTATAATAAATGCATTTGTGCCACAATACAATATTTGTACAGTGTTAGTAACTGCAATGTGATTAACTATAAGGGTGGTGCAGGACTGAACAATGTGTAATGTGTGTGTGTATGACACATTGTTTTCCAGTTTAACTTGTCAATAGTTTACACGGTGGCTGTTTTCAGCTATCTTCACCTCAGATCCTTTAATAATCCCATATCATACGAGTGTATTGAACAGCATGCCGGGTTGAATGTGTTTGGATCAGGCGATCTGCGCTGTTATTCGTGTGATAGAGCCGCAGAAGCGCCATGCGTAACTGATGTGAGCTCAGTGAGTTCATATCCAGCGCTCTAGTCTTCTGTCACTCACACGTGACAGCTATTTATGGAAAGATAATGAATTCAAAACTGTATTATGTCATTATGAATGCATTGTAACCTTTCCAGTGCATTTGATGTGTGTAACTCCTGCACCACTGAGAATCACTACACAGAATAACACAGATATCGACACCCATCGAGTCTAACACATGCCATTGGTGGATCCAAATCTGCTGGGACAGTCTCAAACAGAGTCAGTGGTGTGAACAGTAAACATATGAATCACGTGAGGAACTGATGAAATTAAACATGTCATTTTTTAAATATGCAGACCTCATTGAAAGTGTTACTGAACATTTCTATTAAATGGGCATTTTTATCAGGGTTCAGGAATTCGGCTAAGTCATTTATTGCAATGTATTACTTTCAAAAATGTCACTGATTAGAGTCAAATTAATAACAAATGCTAATTTAAAAGAAAAAATGTCAGATGGACCTCTTTGAATCCTTTAGCTGTCTCTAGCTCCTCTTCGCTCTCTGTCCCATATTCATGCTTATGTATTTCCATAATCAGATCATGCAATGCTGAAACTGTGTCACAGTGTAATTGCTGAAATGATTGTTTTTTTAATTCTAGGAGCATCCGATGTCTTCGCAACATAATCCACTGGAACTTAATTACGACCTTCATTCTGAGGAATGTAATGTGGTTTTTGCTTCAACTGATTGACCAACACATTTATGAGACCAATGAGGTATGACACACTTTTAAACTACGTTTCAGATTATTAATATGTAAACAGATCAGCAGGTTCACAACATTCCCATTTACGATGTTGGCAGACGATTCCTCACAATATTGTTTTTGCTAAATTTCTCAGAAGAAAACTAGCTGAAGATATTGCGTGAAGCAGATTCTTTAACTCTCTGGAGACACTCATGTTTGTCTGCTGGTGTAAACGGCCTCGTTATAATCTTATTACATATTACTTATTACAGCATTTTTCTTTCCATCTTTCTTTCCGCTGAAGAGAGGATATACAAGACTCCATGTGTCCACCACTGAATGACTGTAGTCTTCACTGATACAAGACAGTAACAATGTGATTGTTGAGCGTGACACGAGTGGCATTGCTTTTTTAACATGGTTACAACATAATAAAAACATTTCATTATACACATTATTGGAGCAAGCAAATTTAAAGGGATAGTCCACCCAAACATGAAAATTTGATAATTTCATCCCCTTTTCATTCATATTGCTGTTTGCTTTTCAGGGACTATAAAGTATATCCTAGCAGAAGTACATCACTTTGAATTCCATAATAATTTTATGAAAATCTGTGAAATTTGTAGTAATGGCTGTTAAACATGTTGAATGTTTCCAGTTGCAATAGTAATATTGCAATATTTTCAATAATATATCACCTTGCAAAACACTTGAAATATTTGAGAAATTCTGGGGTATGATGTTGTTTTAAGACCTAGAATAAGATTCCTGTTAGCATCAAGTAAAAGTAAAACATCAAAAGAGTTCACTGCAATTAACAGCCTTTCTCTTTCTCTTTCTCTTTCTCTTTCTCTTTCTCTCTGTATAGCCCTGGTGCCGTCTTATAACAACGATCTATAATTACTTTGTGGTGACCAATTTCTTCTGGATGTTTGTGGAGGGCTGCTATCTTCACACGGCGATTGTGATGACATATTCCACAGACAAGCTTCGGAAATGGGTCTTCCTCTTCATCGGATGGTGTGAGTACATTTCTCTACATAAGTGGACTCGTTTTGAAAGGCCTAATCATCTGGGATTTACATTTGCCCTGAGGAAGGAAGCGGAAATGTAGTTTAAAAACAAAGTTTTGTTTTATTTGGAACCTCTCTGTGCGTCGTGTGACTTTATTGGAGTGAAACCTGTAAAAAAAAATGTTTTCACTCCAATCAGAAATAGAAATGGAGTGATAGAATAGAATATAAATAGAGTTTATATTGGCCTCAACCTTATTTATTTCCCCCCAGAAATGATTAACTTTCTTAATTATACATTTATACTGTAATATTAATAATAATATGATTTATTTTAGTACGTATTTATTATTAATACAATTTTTTGGAAGATTAAACAGTTGAAGGTAAATTCACAAGTGCGATGCATTAATTGCATTGGTTTTATAATAAGTGTCATATGTTTAACTTTGATTATATATTTTTTTTATGGAATATCACCAATATTTGACCCCTTAAATTCGTCTTCCAGGGGCATTTATTTTCTAACCATGTTAATGTATACATAATGCATTTACACCGCAATTACAACTGCTTAAATAATGTTATGAGATTAATGATTCAAATATAAAACATTGTATATAGAAAAAATGAGAAGGGGATTTATTTATTTATTTATTTTATTATGAAATTAAAACCGCTGTAGGTGGTGGCAAATCACTGTCTTAATGAATGATTCACAGAAGCATGCATTCAACTGATTCATTCAGAACGGCTGATTCATTCTGGAATGAAGACACTTGTTCACTGAATCACTGAGTCGGTTCGTTCGTTCGTTCGCCACAGAGACGCATAACTCTTTTGCTGTGGCTTGTCTGTAGCTATCGTCCTCGGAGAAATAGAGAAAAAACTGAGAATATTGACAATTTTATGTCTAAAATGTCACTTATCACAATATTCACTCTTTGTTTACTGAACTGTTGTATAAATTCAACATCACATTTGCAATCGTGCTAATATTATGGAAATATTGGTTGATATCGAATGTTATAAATATAAAATAACTCATTCTAGGGCCATTTTTGCCACTATATCTTTGATAATTGCATTTTATTAATTTTGGTGGGATTTTGCCCCAACTTCCTGATTTCTGACCCTGCTTCAATAAAACACGACAAAATATTATAAACAGTTTTGTATATTGTTTCCCATCATTGGAAAAAGCCATATTTGACATTACAGCACTATGATTTGAAAGAAACTGTGGAAAACATCACATTAAGTACAAAACATGCCATCATTATTTATCATTTTAATCTATTGACAGCCTCAAGCTACAATTGAAAACATAATTTTGTATAATTATGCGGTTTTGACCATTATTCTCTCTAAATGTAGTCAAGTGAACTATAACGAACAGGTTAGCTTACATGGCTTTGGTTTTTGAAGCGGACAGTCCTGTCAGTTCTGTGCGGCTCGGTCCATGACAGTATTTTCAAAATCTCATGTTTAATATCCTCGAACTGGATGAAATCTGAGTCTGTGCCATCATACACTACGCAATGTTTTGTATTATCTGTCAAGTCTGACTGTTTAAAATCAGAGCCAGTCTGCAGATTTTGAGCAGATATCACACAAAATGATGTAGTGTATGATGGCACAGACTCATATTTTTAGCTTTATTTAACTAGCACTGACTTGCCCAGATTGCAAATTGGGGCAAAAATTTGGGCAAAAGCCTTCCAGTCTTAACTCTTCTCTGAGCCCAAGAGGCAGACCAACACAGGGGAAGATGAGTAAGCACGCATGTGTAGTGAAATCTGTGAACGTTTGTACAAACATATCATGATTCATCCATCAGAAGATGTCCACTGTGCTCATAAAGGGAAGGCCATGTTCAGCAATACTCAGGTAGACTGTGACTCAGATCATCTGGATCATGTCTGCATGCCTGAATGCATAGAGTTTCTCTCATGTGATTCGCTGATTAGACGTTGACTTTAACAGGGAGTTGAACGGGTGATCTAATAAAGTGGCCATTGAGTGCACATGGTCCCACTTTTTATTAGGTGTCTTTGATGACCATCTATTAACAACACTCTAAAAAATGCTGGGTTGTTTTTTAACCCAGAATGCTGGGTTGAGTCTGTTGGGTAATTTTGTTGGGTTATTTTACCATCTTTTAAACACCTTTGGGTAGTTTTAATTTTCCAGTGGTTGGGTTAAATCTGCTGGGTCGTAACGCTGGGTTGTTTCTGCCCAGCTGGGTTGTTTCACGAGTTTCGCGCCTTGGAGATGTTCAAATTCGCTCCCAGCTGTCATTTTGAGAGGACAAAGGGGCAAAGGCAAAGCAGCTGGGTGAAACTGTTTTGAGGTAAGTTTATATAATGTTTTTTTCTAATTAATAATTATTTTAAATATACAGTTCATGATTATGTACCACACCCATTAAATATGTGAATATCTGAAACAGAGGAAAGAGTCGTTTCTGTCACTGACAAGCGAATTGAACAAAGTGAGTCGAGTCACTCAAAACAAAACAATTGAGTAATATCACTCACTGCTCTTATGTAAAACTGTAAAACGCCTGCAATTACCGACATGTAAAAGACATAACAAGTGCGTAAAATGTTGTGGGACCGCAGGTCGAAAAGAACCGTCCATCCGGTTCAAATAAACCGGTTCACCAATTTTGAAACAAAATGATTCCAAGAAATGAATCGACTTATCAGCACCGCGAAAACTTTCAAAGCGCGCGCATGCTCAGTGCCGTGGGTTGGACCAGTGAGGTGATTTGATGTGTGGTACAAAAAGTATTTTTACATACATAAATTTGTTTTTGGTAAGTGATGTAATTCAAAATGTCGTTTTTTTCTAGTCAGAAAAGCATGGATACATTTGTGAGGGAAACTCGAGTGGCAGTTAGCCAGTCTTATCGACAAGTTTAACGGTAAGTTCATGTTTATTATACACGTTTGCAGCTTTTACATATAATTGACTGCCTGTGATAATCAACTCAACCTCGCGTAACTTAACGTAGCCTATATAACGTTACATTTGATCCGTATGTTATAGGTAGCTCACAAGGCTGCCAACCTCTGAGTTTAGCAATTTAAAAGCTTGTGATTCGATTCCGATCTTGATTCAATGTCGATTCATTTGGATAAATATCAGATGTAGTAGCTTCATGTAAACAAATTTAAAGGAAAAAATCTCTCAACTAATGCTAAAAACATAAAGGGAGCACTGCTAGTTGGTATAGTATGGACTATGTTATATGGTTAATCTCCATTTGTGTTACACAGAAGAAAGAAAGTCATATACATCACATCTGGGGTGGAATGAGGGCTAGTAAATGATGAGAGATTTAAATTTGTGGGTGGAGAATTACTTTATTAATCTATTTCATTTATTCAACTTTAGTTAGTGTATTATGTTGCTGTTTGTGCATAAAAAATATCTGCAAGGTTAGTTGTTTTAGATCTTCAAAATTATACAACATAAAAGGCAATTTTCGGTATGTAGTATCATTATTGCATATTTATTTCTATGTCTGTAGCTTATTGCACTAACTTTAGTATATATTTGTTGTAGCTGGTCCTGTTTCTGAGATGTTATGTCTCTTTTCTGCAGAGAATAGAGGTGATGATGCTCTTTTGGTCCTTCCCCTTCTTCCTGCCATGGTGGACAGAATTGGTCAGAGGGTCTTTCGTCCATATATTGACCAAGCTAGAAAGGCTTTCATTGATCTTCAACCAGTAAGTATAAAACTGCATAACTGCTATTTAAATTGCATTGTGACCTGCCTGTGCATTAAGCATGGGATACTGTACATCCAGCCAGTTGATATTGCAGAATAAACTTCAACAGGGTAATTAACACAAAGTGGAGGGATCTCGTATCACCCTGAAGGAGTTTATTTTGTGATGAAAACTGCCTGGATGTACATTTAACTTTATTACCTCAAAACAATTCCTATTAAGCAGCTTTGATCCTTGACAAAAAAAAAAAAAACAAGATCAAACAAGACATTTAAGGAATAATGTAAAGTATACCACTTATTAAATGGCTTTTCGCCAAATAAAAATATTGATTGTTGAAATCATGATGAACTTTACACAGTAATTTACACAGTAATTGAACTGAATTGAATCAACACTGAACTGACTTCAACCGAATAATGACACCATTGCCATTGAAACAATTGATATTGTATTTACTTTCTTTTATAGGTTGGAACGAACATGGTGGCATTTCTAAAACGCATCCCATTGTCATGACCATGGGAAACGCCCAGCATATATCGCAATCCTTCATCATCAATGGACAAGCACACTACTTGCAGCTGTTGACGTATGCTTCAAAGCATTCTATGTATTTGACATGAACTACCCCACGCAGGGGTGTGTTTCCCGTACAACAACGTAACTCGATGCTTCACTACCATAGTACGATGCATCGTTGAAAAAAATCAACTAGGTAGTCACGACTGTTTCCCGAAACCATATTGTCGCAAAGTGGTCGTTCAAACACATTGGTTTATGACGTCACGCACATGGTGGACTAATAACTTATTTTAATGAAACTGGGAGGGAGGGAGGGAGGGAGGGGGGGGGGGGGGGGGGGGGGGGGGGGCTCCTTCTTAAAATACTGTACTGTAAAATACAATTTTGCACATCTGTGAATTTCACTTTAATTTACTAAGAATTAAATGGTATAAATGTCATTGTTCAAAACTCATTTTCTTTCTTCCTTAACTTTATTTTACTTTATTTAACTATACCTGTGTAAATTTTAGCATATTTTAAAAATTATTTTGCATTCGCTGACTTTAAAATTTAATTGTCTGTCAATTTCACTGTGTATTTAAACCGTTAAATGTATAAATGTCATTGTTCAGAACTAATCTTCTTTCTTTAATTGTATTTGACTATAATACTTGATGTATTTTTAAATGACTTTGCATTCGCTGACTTTAAAATATTATTGTCAATGTCACTGTATTTAAACCATGGTTTTAGAACTAATCG